TTAGAAATCTTTTGAGGCGTATACATGTAACAATGTACACGTTATATCTTAAGTTTGTAACACTCATACCTAATATTGAACGTTGAATTACGTTATTTAACGATATTGCTAATGTACTGTAATGGTGTCTCCGTGTCAAGTCAGGGATTTGGTTGTAAGAAATACGTTGTCTGATGACCGTATGGTTGTAAAAGAATGTTTCTATCCCTCGTAGTGTTTATATATATATATATGTATTATATAGTGACACTCCAAATAAAGCAAACTAAAGTGTACATACAAATCGTATACAAAAACATCGTACCTGCAACAGCCGCCATGATGCAATGAACAATGACCGGTTATATACGTATAGTAGTATTTGACCTAATTTTATTATATATAAAGGTCAACGAAAGACACATAACAACTAAATAAGAGAAAACAAACGAAGATGTGTGTTTTCTATATATGTTGCATATTTGATAAATATACAAACTATGCAAAATCCATTGACGTGCCGTTGCTTCTCATTAATTATTCAAATTTATTCTTATTTACCTACTAAGTATGAGAGCATCTAAAAAGGCTATTCCATACTGTCGTTTAGTGTAGTGCACAAGCCGATGTAAAATGGTGATTATGTCAAGGCATTATTTCAAAATCTGAAGAATTCACAAAATTGGAATACAGATCTCGATTAGAAGAAAATCATTCATAACAGAGACATTTTTTCATAGCCTAAGAATGCGTAATTTATGAAGTCTGTGGTCACCATTCGTTCGTTTTGAGGATGGGTTACCAATGTTTAAAAAAATATATATATATATAGATTTTATACAAGGAAAACGGGGTAAATGTTTCATGATTGGAAGATATCGCCCCCCGCATGTTTCAACCTGATTTTGTTCACACTTAAAGCATAATTTGTGATGATTTTTTTAAATAAAACACAGCAATGGATATTAATCGAGAGAATGACTTCCAATTCGGAGATAATCTCCATTTCGTGAGAAAGCATTCTTGGATCACTCAATGATAACTTTCAGAGATTGTCAGCATTGCCATACAAGACATGCAGAGTAATTTCATTATACAGTGAGTGAATGAATCACTCAATGATAACTCTCAGAGATTGTCAGCATTGCCATACAATACATGCAAAGTAATTTCATTATACAGTGAGTGAGTGAATCACTCAATGATAACTTTCAGAGACTGTCAGCATTGCCATACAATACATGCAAAGTAATTTCATTATACAGTGAGTGAGTGAATGAATCACTCAATGATAACTTTCAGAGATTGTCAGCATTGCCATACAATACATGCAAAGTAATTTCATTATACAGTGAGTGAATGAATCACTCAATGATAACTTTCAGAGATTGTCAGCATTGCCATACAAGACATGCAGAGTAATTTCATTATACAGTGAGTGAATGAATCATCCAATGATAACTTTCAGAGATTGTCAGCATTGCCATATAAAACATGCAGAGTAATTTCATTATACAGTGAGTGAATCACTCAATGATAACTTTCAGAGATTGTCATTATTGCCATACAATACATGCAGAGAAATTTCATTATAGTGAGTGAGTGAGTGAGTGAGTGAGTGAGTGAGTGAGTGAGTGAGTGAGTGAATGAATCACTCACTCAATGATAACTTCCAGAAATTGTCAGCATTGTCATACAATACATGCAGAGTAATTGTATTATAGTGAGTGAGTGAGTGAGTGAGTGAGTGAGTGAATGAATCACTCAATGATAACTCTCAGAGATTGTCAGCATTGCCATACAAAACATGCAGAGTAATTTCATTATACAGTGAATGAATGAATCACTCAATGATAACTTTCAGAGACTGTCAGCATTGTCATACAATACATGCAGAGTAATTTCATTATACAATGAGTGAATTAATCACTCAATGATAACTCTCAGAGATTGTCAGCATTGCCATAGAAGACATGCAGAATAATTTCATTATATAGTGAATGAATGAATAAATCACTCAATGATAACTTTCAGAGATTGTCAGCATTGCCATACAAGACATGCAGAGTAATTTCATTATACAGTGAGTGAATGAATCACTCAATGATAACTTTTAAAGATTGTCAGCAATGCCATACAATACATGCAGAGTAATTTCATTATGTAGTGGATGAATGAATCACTCAATGATAACTTTCAGAGATTGTCAGCATTGCCATACAATACATGCAGAGTAATTTCATTATACAGTGAGTGAATGAATCACTCAATAACTCTCAGAGATTGAAAGCATTGCCATACAATACATGCAGAATAATTTCATTATACAGTGAGTGAATGAATCACTCAATGATAAATTTCTATACAGTGAGTGAATGAATCACTCAATGATAACTTTCAGAGATTGTCAGCATTGTCATACAATACATGCAGAATAATTTCATTATACAGTGAGTGAATGAATCACTCAATGATAACTTTCAGAGACTGTCAGCATTGCCATACAATACATGCAGAATAATTTCATTATACAGTGAGTGAATGAATCACTCAATAACTCTCAGAGATTGAAAGCATTGCCATACAATACATGCAGAATAATTTCATTATACAGTGAGTGAATGAATCACTCAATGATAAAATTCTATACAGTGAGTGAATGAATCACTCAATGATAACTTTCAGAGATTGTCAGCATTGCCATACAATACATGCAGAATAATTTCATTATACAGTGAGTGAATGAATCACTCAATGATAACTCTCGGAGATTGTCAGCATTACCATACAAGACATGCAGAGTAATTTCATTATACAGTGAGTGAATGAATCACTCAATAACTTTCAAAGATTGTCAGCATTGCCATACAATACATGCAGAGTAATTTCATTATACAGTGAGTGAATGAATGAATCACTCAATGATAACTTTCAGAGATTGTCAGCATTGTCATACAATACATGCAGAATAATTTCATTATACAGTGAGTGAATGAATCACTCAATGATAACTTTCAGAGATTGTCAGCATTGCCATACAATACATGCAGAATAATTTCATTATACAGTGAGTGAATGAATCACTCAATAACTCTCAGAGATTGAAAGCATTGCCATACAATACATGCAGAGTAATTTCATTATACAGTGAGTGAGTGAGTGAATGAATCACTCAATGATAACTTTCTATACAGTGAGTGAATGAATCACTCAATGATAACTTTCAGAGATTGTCAGCATTGCCATACAATACATGCAGAATAATTTCATTATACAGTGAGTGAATGAATCACTCAATGATAACTCTCGGAGATTGTCAGCATTGCCATACAATACATGCAGAATAATTTCATTATACAGTGAGTGAATGAATCACTCAATGATACCTCCCAGAGATTGTAAGCAATGCCATACAATACATGCAGAATAATTTCATTATACAGTGAGTGAATGAATCACTCAATGATAACTCTCGGAGATTGTCAGCATTGCCATACAAGACATGCAGAGTAATTTCATTATACAGTGAGTGAATGAATCACTCAATGATAACTCTCAGAAATGGCCTAAGTGTCAGGATAGATACATTTCAACTTGATGGGGGTGGGGGGGTGAGTTGTACTTTTTTGATGCCATTTGAAAACTATCTTCTTATATGACTTACTGTATATCATTTTTTCATCAAAACTGTCTATCTGCATCATATTAGGAGCATCTTTCACAAATCTGTCAAAATAAAGGACAACACATCCCATTTATGCATGTGAGCCATTCCTTAAGCTGGAGCTAATAAAACATGACACAATTGAATTATTTAAAAAATTGTTAAAATTTATTATTTTCAAAATAACTTCCCCCAAAAAATAATTCATGGCAAGTAAAAAAGAGATTAAATTGTTGCTTTTGACGAAAGGCATGTTAAAATAAGTAGAGTGGAATAAGTGTGTCTACAGTAAAGAACTGAGATTAAAAATTGATATTGATATAATAAAATGTAATTCTATAATCCTGATAATAGGTTCAAATATTGGACAATATATAGCACCAATATGGCAGCCATGGAAGCACGTAACTAAACCAAGCCCTCTCCCTCTAAAAAAATTAATAACCCTGATAATGAAAGATAAAATGTTTAACCAATAATTCAGCCATAGTGATATGCATTTACTGTATTTGCTCTATTAGAAACTTATCTCAAATAAAAGCAAATACAAGTCTAGAAGTGCCTTTATTGTCTACTGTATCATTAAAATATGACTTGTTTTGTCCATAGAAACACGTCTTATAATAAAACTTAAATGCAAGCACTACTAATAGAGCAAATACAGTATCTATTTTTTTTGTCTTTTCTTTTTTAGTATTTTTGGGATAAGTACACAGAATCTACTAATTTAACAGTATCTGTGGTTGATTAACAGTAGATATTAGAAAGGTATTTGGGGTTAAACTGGATACTAATAAATTTATACCAATAGTGCATTCTACCTCTATCTGATGCACCTAAAAGATAACATACAAAGCAATAAACAAGAACTAGATTTATGTTGCATAATATATACTTTCTGACATAACTTTGAAACCTCTAAAAATGGTTTTCAGCCTTGGCACTGTATCTATGTACTTATCAACCTGTTCAACCCAACCCAATTTTCCCAACACAACCCTACCCAAAAGTTTGCAATTACTAATTTACATTTTGATAGATAATTAAAAAGTCTAATGAAGGAAGACAAATCAAATACACAGAAATTTGAACGCCTGATATTTGGAATCTCACACATAGTACTGGATTGACTGGGTTTGCACAGAATATCATGATTACGTCAGTTGTATTTTGACAAATACTATTAAAAGATCATAGACTTTCATTGCACACTTTCATTCCTAGACATATTGCTGTGAATCCCTGTCCTAAAGAACCCAATACTGACCAGAATAAAGATCACAATTTCCCTGGACTAGAAAAATTCAACAAAGTTGAGAATATTTTCCTTACAACAGCAGAATGTAGAATGTATTGAAAGCATGTCAGCATCACATGCCAACTCAATTTGGAAAGTTTAATATATTCTTGAATTTTAAATGTTTCAAAGAGATGGTCTGCTGAGTTTTGTCATTCCAATACTTTCTAATGTTTCCCTGATTTCTTCATAGGCGTCAGGCTGCTCAATCGTGGGAGGAATCTGAAAATGTAAAGAATGCAATGAAATACATATGACATGTAACACTATTCTGAAACACAACTGTAATTCCTTGTACTAGAAATAACAAGTACTTTTGTAGTCTCAAACATAGTAAATGATATGTCAATCCATACAATACAACAATATGCACCATGTTGAAGATCAAACTACCTGATTTTAGTGTTTTTTCTACAACACAAACAATCAGCAGACAGTCATCAAATGACAACATTGTTGCATGTGTGTATAAATGCCATGATATACTGCCCTTGTATAAAATTTAAAGTGAATTGCTCAAGTCATATACACGATACCTGAAATAGGATTACTGAGAAAAAAATGGTCACCAGTCTGCCACTTTGAGTTGAAATTACGAAACAAGAAAATGTGCATCAACCTTAAATGGCTGACCATTAACCATCATGGTCAATGTTTGGTATAAAACGTGGCTTACCTTAAATGGCTGACCATTAGCCATTGCCATAAGTGTAGATCTTGAGATTTTGCCAGATTTGGTTTTAGGAAGTTTTTTAACCACTACAGCTCTCTTGAATGCAGCCACAGGTCCAATTGTATCTCGTATTGTCTGCACAACTTCAGTCACTATTTGACGATGAGGTCTGTCAATGTCTAAAATTCAGAATAAATGCAATACATCAAAACCTGTCTAACCCAAACCTCATATGAACTGAGTATAA